TTTTTCTAGTTTTCTTGGGCACGTGTCTGTCATCTTCGGAATCTTCAGCCTTTGTTCCAACTTTGAGTATTCACTAATTGCTGACTTTCAGGAAATGACATGCAGACATGAGCAATGGAGAATTATAGACTATCCCTACACTCAATAGCTTATAGCTTATGCTAATTTCTTTATCGTTTGGCATTTTAGTAACAACCCAGATTTCAGGAGAACTGAAGTGATATCAAATCCTCTTCCCAGGTGAAAGTTCAACTCTGCAGATGATGTGGTGGTGGCAGATGTGGTCACGGCCTTTTGACAGAATGAATCCCAAAGCAGGCAGAGTTTACTTGTACCCAAGGAAGATTACTCATGCTCTAAGAAAAGAATATGACAGCCAAGGGGTTCCTTACTCCTGGGGAAATGGAAAATGGGAAGCCTTTGGGAAGAAATACAGCATGCCGGTCCATGCTCTTCAGTAGAAGGGAAACTGAGTGTCAGACTTGTAAGCTAACACTGCTGAGAGACAATGGGTCCATGGATTATTCTCTTCTCTCCCTGGCCATTCATTTCTTCTCCTCCTCTTGATTTTCTGTGAAAGACTGAACACACTTCAAATGCGTCCACATCTTTATAATACAAAACAGGAAATTAGCATCCTGATTTGCACACCACTCACACAATTGTCAGACTCTGATGAAGGTAGGGTTGGAACAAAGACCCCAGGGCTCTGTGGTAGTGAGGTAACACATGCCACTCTTTCTAAGCCTGCAACTTGCTGCATAGATGCAAGGAACCACCTCCTACCAGGGGCACATTCTGGGCTCTGGGAATCCTAAACAAGGGTAATCATGTACCTCAGCCTTAGACAGACACGCCCTCTTTCCTCCCTACACCCTCACCAACCTCTTCCACCCTCACCCACGCCCACCCTCACCTCCACCCCCACAAATGGAAGTCACAGTAAATCCACGTCCTTATAACCCCGAGAAGACAGCATGCTAGCTGACTGCCTAGCGCTAAGTGCCACACACACACACACACACACACACACACCATGCCTCTGACTGAAAGGAGTTAGTACATCAGGAGTAACCAGAGCAGCTTGATCTGAGGAGAGGGCGTGAGCTGTTGAAAAAGCTCTCAAACCCGGCTTGGCCGAGCGTTTGCAATCTGAGCATCTGTAATCTGCAGTGCCAAAGCTCAAAACACTGGTTCTGGAGCATCTCAGGTTTAAGATTTTCAGATGGCGATCCTCAGTTGATAGAGTCTGTGAAAATATCCCCTCATCTGGGCAACTGAGGGTGGAAGCGTTTTGGACAAAGGGCACTCCATCTGCACCGCAGATTGTACACTCATTTACACTATCTCAACAATAGGCTGTGAGAAACACATCAGCTTGAGATTTAGGGTCATTTGTGTGCAGTTTAATTGGTGTTCCAAATATCAGGAAGAACACTTCACTGGATTTAACGAAAACCACATTGCCTGCTCATGAAGTAGCAGTGTTAAGTGGTCCGTCTTGTAGCATGCTGGCACCCAAGAGTGATTAGAATGGGGAAAGGGAAACTGCTGTGATTTTCTGCCCTCAGACCACTTTCCCAACTAATAATGGCCATTGTAATAATTACTGGCCGGTTCAATAAGAATTTGCCCCTTTAAATACACGAATATCACTGGCCGCCCGTACTGTTGCTTCTGATGTTTTGGCATGACATTTAAAAAGTCCCAGATTTTTAATGAAGGTCAGATTCCTTCATAAGAGGAAAACATCTGTCATAAACACTGTACAAATATTTATAGGGCTAAGCTGGCAATAGACCACCTCCCCGGCTCTCCTTTTTAATCAAGCTCGAATGTGCAAAGACAAACAAGCAAACAGCAAACAAAGAAGGGCAGTCACACATGGCAGCACAGAGTCTGCAAATCCAAGAAAAACAAACCATTGTGTAGAGTTCCTACTTATTTTAGTATGTTGTCGGACTCTCTGGTTTATCTTATTTAATGACAGTCTCCTTTCCTCTCAGGTTTGTCTTTCATTGTGCTGGGAATCGATCGCAAGGCCATACACTTGCCTGGAGAGTTCCCCTCTCTGAGCTAACTCCCAGTAGGGCTTTTTCTTCTTTTATGAGAAAATACAAATGTCCCAAGCGTATTTTTCTGATAAATTCCTCCCTACCTTCAATCCGTGAGATGCAATTCAATATGCCATGCTCATTATAGTCCACACTGAGATAATATTTACAAGATGCCAGAAAACTAGCTCAACTCCCCCAACACACACACACACACACACACACACACACACACACACACACACACACACACACACACACCCAC